TGGTGGCTGAGGCCTGTCATCAGCATTATATTGTCGCTAACCTCTCTCGATCGATCTCGCATTACCCTGCAGAGAGGCTGATCGAGAGCCCGCCTGGCATGGCATGCATGGATTTCCTCGTACGGATGATCCGGGGAGACCGATATGCATCACATGCACGCGTCGGTTTCGCACGAACATGGAGCGAGCGCGCGAGCGAGAGAGTAGTAGTGGCCCAAACGCGAGCAGAGCAGCAAGCAGGGCAGCAGGTGGCAATACCAACAACGAAGCGAGGCCGACGCGCGGCGGGCGTGCGTCTACGTATATAAACCAACCAACGGCAACGGCCGCCGCGCTCACCAGCTAACCACGTACGCATGCATACCAAAACCACCGTCCCCATCGGTCCATTCAGCCCCATGTTCGTCCGTTGCTGTTGTTGCAGTAGTAGTCCAGCAGCAATTAACAGGTGCCAGTCAGGCAGTCACCATGCAGAGCGCGCGCGCGCGCCTACTAGCTACTCCTAGCCTCCTAGGTACATACTCCTAGCTAGCTAGCTACGGTTACGGCATATACTCCGTATCCCTGACGAGTGACGATCAACCGCGGCCCGCGGGCCGGAACAGCTAGCAGCGCTGTCGTACCTCGATCGTACGTACGTACCTGATCGATCGTCCAAGTCTTGGACCATGCTGGAAGCAACAAAGCGATCGACCATGCATGCCCTTGATTGGCCTCTATCTCGCGTACCACGACGGCACGAGGACGACCGCGCACGAGCGAGCGGCCGTATCGTGAGGCGCGGGGCCGCCCGAGCCCGCGACCGGCCACCTAACGGCTAACGCTAGCTAGCTCCATCACGTACGCAGCGCACCCGTGCGTGTGGCACGCTCGCCGAGCGGCGAACGCACGGCGCCGAGAGCGTGCCCCTGCTGGCCGGCTAGGCTCGCTTTCTCCAACTCACGCTTCCTCCCCTCCCCCTTGTAGTGGTCGTGGGCTTTGTAGCGTTCGCAAGTCACCTCGCTCGACTGTTGGCCTCGCAAGCTAGCTCTCTGTCTTGGACAAGCACTCGGATCGCCTAGTAGTACGTGCTAGTGGTAGCCAGTAGGCGCTATCATTCGCCGGTTGCTCCGCAAGCTACGTACGTACCTGCTGCACCATGGCAGAGGCATCTAGTAGTGGCAGCACGTACGTATACGTACATACTACGCGCGCGCTAGCTAGTACTCCGTACACACACAAGCTGCGCGATCGATCGATCACCACGCACTGTGCCAGGCTACTAGCTAGCTATAGCGTGCGATCTCTTGATTAGTTCGTTGCGAGATGTACAGCAACGGGCATGTTTTCTTCCAAAATTTGGATGGCTCCGATCCGTACACGGGACGGTCTGCAACGAGAAAACGGTTGTTTGTTGCCACCAAGAACGCGGCCGGTGGACCTACCGCGCTGGAACCCCCGCAAAACATTAAACATGTGTTAACGTAATAACCACCCGTGCTCGTTCGGCTGCTCTAGAAGCAGCTCGTTCCGCTGCTTTTGAGCACTGTAGCAACAGTGACTTGTGTCTGCAGACCATCCGAGACTGGACGACGGCAGCAGTTTTTTGACCTGCATGCTGCCAGGCCGCTGCCGTTTTCCTGGACGATTTTGGCGAATCGACCGGTGGATCCATCGTTCGCGCGCGGCTGGTGGGCGGGCGGAGCAAGGCCTTGTTTAGATTACAAATTTTTGTAACCTGGACACTATAGCACGTTTCGTTTGTATTTGATAAACTTTGTCCAATAATGAACTAACTAGACTCAAAAGATCCATATCGTGATTTACAACCAAACTGTGTAATTAATTATTTTTTTTACCTATATTTAATGCTCCATGCATACGTCAAAAATTGATGTGATGGAGAGAGTGAAAAAACTTAGAATTTGAAGGTGATCTAAACAAGCCCCAAGCTTAGGCCCTGTTTAGTTTCCCCCAGAATCCAAAAGTTTTTGCGCAGTATCCGTCACATCGAATCTTGCGGCATATACATGGAGTACTAAATATAGACGAAAAAAAAACTAATTACACAGTTAGCCGAGAAATCGTGAGACGAATCTTTTAAGCCTAAATAGTTCATAATTGAACAATTTTTATCAAATACAAACAAAAATACTACAATAACCAAAAGCCAAAAGTTTTCGGAACTAAACACGCCCTTAGCTAGCACACGGCCACCCACCCGCGGCGCCGTACAGTGCAGGCGACTCGTGCGCGCCGTGCTGCTGCTTTTTCTTGCTCGCTTGGGTGTATTTTTGCTGCTGTGGTTGTGCGCCTGTGATCGTATGCATCCAACATCCATGTACTCACTCCTGCCTCTGTGATCACGCACAACTGTCGTCTGTGCAACATCTGTACGACGACGTACGCACGCGCACAGGCCTCCTTTTCCCTTCAAGTACAAGGATCAGATCGATGCCTGTTGCCCTCGCATCTGATGGGGACCTCCGGAGACCGTGCTGCCCTGTTGTCTCTTGTTCTTGTCTGCGCCACATGATGGCTCCGCTCAACTCGAACCCTCACGTTCAGCACTCGGTAACTTTCAGGCTTCAGCTTTTCTTGCTTCGATTTCTTATCTCGAGCTACCTGGTGACAGCAGACAACCACTCCTGACCTGTTCTTTTTCGGACATTTTAGTATTGAAGCCTTGAAGGACCAGCTATTGGTCTAGTGGACACGAGTTCCACGTAGTACGTAGTATTGAAGCCTTGAAGGACCAGCTATTGGTCTAGTGGACACGAGTTCCACGTAGTACGTACTTACCGATTATTCTTTCACGCACTAAGGTCCTTTTCTGAATATATATTGAGGCTGCACTAATGTCAACACCCTGACGCATGCTTATTACTACCACGTCCACGTACTAATGAACAAGTGGCATGGTGAAACGAGAGCTGAAAGGAAGAGGAGGAGCAAGGTTAAAATTTCTGAACGCCTTAGACCGTTTACGCTACACATACACTGTTCACTGTTGTCGACGCCGCTTCTTTCCCCGACACTGAAAATCTGAAATGATTGGGCGAGCGATTCGTCACAGCCATCCTTCAGAAGTTACCACAGGGACTGTTTGGTTTCCATAAGTCAGGTGACTTATTAAGTCAGGTGATTGAAAACCAGTGACTTATAAGTAATGCCTGTTTGGTTGTAGATGACTTATAAGCTCATTAAAGGTGTAGGCCCCACGCGAAAAAAATGTGACTTAAAAGTTTTAAGCAGGGGTGAACTCAACTTAAAACTTATAAGCAGGGATGACTTATAAGTTGATGGTGTTTGACAAAATAAATCACTTATTTTACTTTTTAACTTATAAATAGGTGACTTATTTAGAACCCAGGCCTTTAGTACGCGCATTTCCTGTCAGTTTTCTTTCCTTCTTTCCATCTCGACTACAGCGAGATCATTAATGAGAATGACGTCTGTTGGTACTTTTGCTTGAGTACATCTAACAATACACTGGGTCTTGTTTAGATGATGGTTGAGAATCAGTATTTAGCACTGTAGCACTTTCGTTTGTATTTAATAATTATTGTCCAATCATAGCCTAATTAGGCTCAAAAGATTTATCTCGTAATTTACAATCAAACTATGTAATTAGTTATTTTTTTTATCTACATTTAATACTCTATGCATGTGTCCAAAGATTTAATGTGATGGAGAGAGTAACCGAAAGCGAATCCACCAGTAACAATTCTGCTCATGCATATGTACTCTCTGCATAGGAGTACTCCTATACTTATATGTGTTACTGTCAGAACAGATCGGATCCACCACAGATGGGCGATCATCGAGAAGGCGAGATGTTAAATCCGCTGTCATCACTCCCTCGAGCCGTAAAACGACTGATACTACAGTGAAGCGCATCAGTGCAGCGAACTGAGGTCGCGGTGAGTGAGTCACCGACGAGTGACGACCCCCAATTTCTTCCGGGACGACAGGGCAACCCCAACCGTCGGCGGCGGCCGCTATCGGCGGATTGACGGGGCAGATACCCGTTCTATATAAATATATATATAAATTACTACATCGGAATCTGATGGTCAAAATCTATGCTCCATAGATGAGGTAGAGTGTTCGGCTGACTATAAAGCCGCTGATACTAATTTGTATAACTGATTTTTTTATTGAAAAATTACTGTACCACGGTGAGCCAGCTTAAGACCAGCCGAACACTCACTGAGGCAGGGCATACATGTTCGTGCTGCAGGGTGACGTACGGACGGGATGGGACGCGGAGGTCGGCAGGCAGGCCATGGCCATTTATTTACTAGTACACGCGACGTGATTGGTGAGGCCGATCGAGATTAGCGACGTGATTAGCTAGCTAGCCCAAGAGTGACCGGGCACTCGGGCCTTGCGCGCGGCTGGCTTTGGCTGGCCGCTGGCTCCGTGTCGCTCCGCTCCGTTTCCACGGTAGACCAGAGCAAGCTGGAGGAGCGCTGGGCGAGTGAAAGGAAAAGGAAACGTGACGACGCGATGAGAGGAGGAGGTTGTTTCGCGTCGTACCACCGGCGCGGTCGCGATCACCGGCTGCCACGCCTAACTTTAAGCCTGCCACGCTAACTTTGGTAGCCATTTGGTTCGTGATACTGTTGTGGCACGCCATCGCCATGAAACCATGCCGCCGTAGATTTTCGTCGCAAAAGTGTGGCGGACGTTTTTGCCGCCGCGAAGCCCATGGCGCGCCAAAGCCAATTCCCATCGAATAAAAAAAACACCCCACCGCTTTCCTCTATCCACTCCCTCGCCTTCCTCAATGAAACAGGCCGAGCGGCTACTCCCGTCCGACCTCCGACCCACGCCAGGGGGCGCGCCGCCGCGCGCCCAAGGGCGGCCGTCACGCCCATCTCGCCTCTTTGCTGCCTTCTTCCCCCTCGCGTCGTTGTTCTCAGTGAGCACGGCCTGCCTCTCCTTCCACGCAGGTGTTGTCCACCTTCTCATCTTCTCCCACCGTCAGTCGTATTGCTTTTCCCCTTCCCGTCGCCATGTCTGTTGACCTCTGGTTTTCCTCCATGTGTGCAAATCTGGAAAAAACAGTAAACCAGGTGAAGGTCCATCCATCTCGTGAAGGTCCATCCATCCCGTGGTGTTGGGTCATGCGCGGCAATCAATCCCTACAGCTAAAGAAGATTCAAGCACGGCAACCTCCTGCAGCCAAACAAGGTATAAATCCATTTTCCCCCTTTGCCATTGATTTTCTGATGGATAAATAAATTCATGCTGAGATCCGGTGAATCAATCTACTGTCTTGCTAGTTAGGTTTCCTTTGTTTAATATATATGGAGAAGTCATAGCTATTTCTTTCTTTAGTCTAGTAAAGATGAGTTATTGTGTTAGATAATATATGCAGCACCTTGAGACTTGGCATGTGGTGCTAGATGATTCTTTTTTCTTGACAAAATGAGCTTGTGACTTTGATCTTTCAAAGCTATTTCAACTATACGCTTCACTATTTCTAGTTTATTATTAATTTCATCTTTTTCTGAACATATGTTTTAGATGGGTCAAAGAAAATTGTACTTGCAGTATTACTTGGACTACTACCATTATATGTGGAGAAGATTAATTACTGGTATTGTTGTGTGTCTGGCCATGCATCTGTATAGGATTAAATCAAGAAAAAGAAGAAGGGCCATAACTTATGCTCCGATGATAGATAGAGATGTTGAAAGATTGTCACATCTAAATCGTGTTTGTATCATGGTACTGAGGCTCATTGCATAAATGAGCTACGTATGAGGAAAGCTGTCTTCCATAGACTATGCGATGAACTTAGATCACGTGCCTTGCTAGAGGAGACTTTTCATGTCACAATAGAGGAACAAGTTGCCATGTTTATCCATTGTGTTGGGTAACGTTGGTCAAACAGATCAATTGGTTTTGAGTTCATTAGGTTAAGTGAAACTGTTAGTAGGTATTTTCATCATATCATAGATGCCCTTTGTACCCTTGCTCGTGACCTCATATGCATAAGATCTGTGGACGCACATTCAAAGATAACAAGTGCTCGAGACAGATTTCGCCATTACTTTGAGGTACATAAAAATTGCTAATCAATGATTTCGAATTTACTTTAGGTGTCATACTCATCTAATTTAAAAAAAAATTATTTTCGTAGCGATGCATAGGAGCCTTGGATGGTACACATATACCGGCATGTGTACCTTTCCATATGTGTGATCGGTTTAGGGGTAGAAAATCAATTACCACCCAAAATGTGCTAGCAGCAGTTGATTTTGACATAAGATTCATATATGTTCTTGCTGGATGGGAGGGCTCAGCCCATGATTCTTATGTGCTTCAAGATGCTCTATCACATCCTAATGGGCTTAAAATACCAGAAAGTAGGAATACCCCATTATGTCCTAACAATTTGAATCTAAAACTTCACCCGTATTCTTAGCTAATTAATCTATAAAAAAATAATGATGTAGGAAAATATTTTCTAGCTGATGCTGGATATGCAGCAAGGCTTGGTGTATTACCCCCTACCGTGGTACCGATATCACTTAAAAGAGTATAAGGGGGCTAGGGAGCCTGAGAGCCCCAATGAATTATTTAATCTTCGTCATTCCTCACTTAGAACAACTATTGAACGAGCATTTGGTACCCTCAAAAATCGTTTCAAAATCTTCGCAAGTCAGCCATTCTTCCTTTGAAAACACAAGTCAAACGACATGTTCATTTGGCTGATAAGTCATGACTAAAAGTACTATTGGCTGATTTGTTATGAGAGAAAAATATTGTTCGTTGGCTGAAAAAGTACGGCTTATAAGCCAAGCGAATAAAGCGAAAATTGTGATGGCTTGTTGTGCACTTCATAATTGGATCTTACAGAACGGTCCTGGTGAGTATGTTTATGATGATGCTACTTGGTACACAACCTTGCCTCGAAGTGTAAGAAATCGTAGTGATATACACCAGAAAAATGTGGCATGGGCTAATAAAAGAGATGGGATGGCTCAAAGGATGTGGGAAGATAAAGTAGGAACAACTGTAGATTAGGTTCAAAAAATTATGTAACCAGTGCTACTATCTTTGCATATTTCTTCTTGTACCTTTCTTGTTGATTTCCTTGTATGTATGAAACATACATATATAAGTGTGATGCTTTCTATTATCTTCACTGGTTCATTTGCTTCTATATGTATTTGCTTCTATTATCTTGTTGAGTTTGCTTAAATAAATTATGTCTGTACACAGTTTGCTTAAATAAGTTGTCACTGTCATTTATTTTAGCCTGACTCATTTATTTGTCATAGCCATGCTGTAAATAAATTATATATGTACACAGTTTGCTTAAATATTTTGTATCAGTACACTGTATGATTTTAATTAAATGTCTCTTTACTAATAGTGTCATTTGTAGGCTGCTGTTTGGAAGTGAGTACTAGTACAGTCACTTGTATGATTTTAATTATCTCTTGTACGTGAAAGAGCCATGGCCGAGGGAAAGGCTAAAGCTGATGCTTTTGCATCCTCTCGTGAGAGGTCCGTGAACTGGCATGAGGATCAGTCGAAGTACATGCTAGAGTGGTGCATGGAGTATTTGAAAAAACAATATGCAGGATTTAAGTTCAAGAAGGCACATCTCATGTTGTGTGCCAATGATTTAAACAAGAAGTTTGCTATGGGGGTGACTGTTGATCAAGTGGACCGTCACTATAGGTACCATAAAAAAAACTGGAAGTACATTGCAACAACATTGAGCAATAGTGGCAATACATTTGTTGAAAAAAGATGCATGGTGAATATTTCAGAATCTGAAAAAGAAAAATTATGTGTAAGTTATTTGTACTGAATATATTCTATTTTACAATCTAAAATCAATTCACTTGTTCACATGAATATAAACTGAATTTCACTTTTCACATGAATGCAAGACAGAGCAAGACGCCTGCTTGCGAAGCCCATCAAGTTCTTCAATGAGATGAGAGAACTATTCATAGGATCCAATGCTGATGGTTCTTTGGCTCTGGACCAGAACACATGCATGGATGTTGCTGATGGCTCAGATAGTGATGACTCGAGAGAACTATTTGACCTCAATACCTACACATAGCCTGAAGATCTAGAAGGTGAGGATTCAGACACTTTGCCAACTCCAACTAGACATGCAACCGTTGACAACACATCTTCCAGCACTAGTCAAGCTACCAAGAAGCATCCAAAAGCCAAGAACTCACCAACTAAGAAGCCAAAAAGAGCCGTTTTGCATATTCCACTGATGAAATTAGTGCTACAATGAAGTCACTTCGGGAAACACTTGCTGCCACTGCCCCTCCCCCAATGCCACAGCCTACTAATCCTCATGCAGCATTATGGCAGAGACTAGAGGCAATTCCAATAACACTAGATCAGAGGATTCTTGTTGGTGAACATTTGTGTACCAAGGAGAATAAAGGTAAGCGTGGTTGGTTGTGTAATGCAAGTGCTGATACTCTGCATGCTTGGGTGTTCAAGTTCTTGTGTGAGAAGGAAGGCATTGACATGTGAAGCTTAGCTTCTGAGGGTGTCTGTTCATATTTTGTGGCGTGCCCAGAAACTTGGTTGTGTGATTATTTTGGTTATGGTGATGACTGAAGGCTTAGGATGTAATATAGTTGGATGTGTGCTCATTTTGGCTGATGCATGCATGGTTGGCTGTTGTTTTTGTAATTAATCTAAACCTCCTAGAATGTATTTATGAAGATGGTATTTCGTGCTGGTAATATTATTGAAACATATGTTGGTTGTTACTTTTTATTATTGCTGGAATATATATTGTTGTATGGAAATGTGTGTCTTACCACTGTAGCATTGAGGTATATGTGGCTGCAAACTAAACATATGTCACAACATTTTGCAAAGTTTTTTGGCAGGAATCCAAAAGCAGCCACACTTGTTTTGCCAAACCTTAGTCATAAACCAAATGACTTGTTTTTACCAAGCCACATATGTGGCTGGTGTCTAATATTAGTCATGGCAAATTGTACAGTCTGTTCGCTTGGTCGTATTTGGCTTATAAGTCATGGCTTATCAACTAACAAACATTATTTTTCTCTCACATCAAATCAGTTAATAGTACTTTCAATAATATCTTATAAGCCAAATAAGAAAAAAAAAACGGGACGGTAGCTGGGAACCAGACATCCCCGACGTAACTCGCGAATCCACGGCCGCATTCATGGCTGGCTTTCCACAGTTGCCATAAGCAGTGTGTTTAGTCACTCGTAACAGGATGGCAAGAAATTAGAGGGGAAAATGTACTAATGCAAAGGTCATGTCGCCAACTAACGCCGTGTTAATGTTAAGGAGAGGGAGAAAGAGAGAACCGGAGACGTTGATCTCTTTCCTCTTTCTCTCTCCATTGCCGTTGCGAGCCAGGAAAGCTCTCTCTCTCGCTCATCTCTCGTCCAGCACGGCGCACTATTTTAGGCCGCCACGGCGCCCACCATCTCTCTCAGAAACGGGAGGGACTCGAGGTATCTTAAGCTCCAATTCATTGGCGCGCGCGAGCCCGGCCGGGCGCACTGCACCTTTGCTTAGAACCCACTTGATCGCTGCCTCACCTTGTTCGTCTCTCACCTCACCTCACACCAGAGAGAGTTGAGTGTGTCTGTGTCTGTGTGCAGGGCTGCGGGCAACTAGTTCTTGGTACGCACGTTTCCCCATATATACCCCCCGCCCATACATAGAGGCATAGAGCTAGCCACAAGCAGCCACCGATCGCCATTGCAAGTGGCAGCGGTCGATCACCGACGTTGCCCTTGCCCCGTCTCTTAATTTGTCGCCGTCGTCGTCGGAGCAGAGACAGAGAGCACGGGAGGGGAGAATGGGACGGCTCTCCTGCGGCGGCGGCGGCGTGCAGCCCAAGCTCCGCAAGGGGCTCTGGTCGCCCGAGGAAGACGAGAAGCTGTACAATCACATCATCCGACACGGCGTCGGCTGCTGGAGCTCTGTCCCCAAGCTCGCAGGCAAGCAACACGAGCCTTACACACTCTCACTGTTGTATCCATCAGTCTGTCGTCGTCGTCTTCCTTGTACACTGCCATCCATGGCGCGCCTTGCCTGAATTGCCTTCTCGCTCGTTGTGGTGCCGTGCGTGCAGGGCTGCAGCGCTGCGGCAAGAGCTGCCGCCTGCGGTGGATCAACTACCTCCGCCCCGACCTCAAGCGCGGCAGCTTCTCGCAGCAGGAGGAGGACCTCATCGTCGCGCTCCATGAGATCCTGGGCAACAGGTCGGTAGCAGCTAGCCGTCGCAATGCATTCATCCATTCCAGCCTCTCCCGCGTGTCCGCAATGTGGCGGAGGGAGATAGCTAGCATTATCAAATTGGCAACTATGTTCATGGTCATGGCCAGGCTGATGGACTAAGCGAATTGTTCATGCAGGTGGTCGCAGATCGCGTCGCACTTGCCGGGGCGGACGGACAACGAGATCAAGAACTTCTGGAACAGCGGCCTCAAGAAGAAGCTCCGGCAGCGCGGCATCGACCCGGCCACGCACAAGCCCATCGCCGCCGGGGCCGCCGCGGAGGCGGGCGCGGCGTTGCCGGACGCTCGGGACCACGACCGCAAGCCCGGAGGAGCCGCCGACGCCGCCGCCGAAGCGGACGGCCTCGCCCAGAACAAGCAGCCGCAGCCGGCGGCGGCCGTGTTCGACCCGTTCCCGGTGACCGACTTCGGCTTCGACCTGGGCGTGGCGGCATTTTACGCCGGTCCCTACGACGCCGACGGCAAGGCGTCGTCGGACGCCGGGTTCGTGGCCGACTACAGCAGCGTGCTGGACGTGTCGGAGAACCTGGGCTACGGGGAGAGCTCCAGCAACAGCAGCAACTGGAACTGCGGCGCGGAGATGAGCAATGCCGTGCTCGACAGCGAGGTGCTGCACTGGGCCTCCGGCGGCGCCGCGGCCAAGCCGGAGCCCTACACGGAGCTGGAGCAGCAGCAGCACAGCGGAGGCTACGGCGGCGGGGGCCAGGCGGTGGACGACGACGACGACGCGCTGGAGCACAAGTTCTTGCTGCCCTGCGGCCAGGAGGAGAGCCTGGCGCATTTCGACTTCAACTTGGAATACTTCTGAATTCTGATCCTTTTTTTCTTTTTCTTTTTGGCCCTTCATTCATCTTTGCCTGCCTTTCCTCCCTGAATTATCCATCCATTCCCCTACGTTTTTACAGACAAGAGGAAGAAGGAGAAGACGCATTTGGACGATTAGGGATTGTACGTAGTAACCAATATGTTAATTTTGTCTAGCCCATGATACACACTCTCTTTTTTCTTTTACTCTTTTTCTGTATACTCTGCTCCTGCTTGGTCAGAGGAACAGAAGTCATTGGTACATACGAGATTATTGTGTACTACACTATATACAAAGGTGTTTCTTTTTGTAAAGAATAAATAAATTAAACCTGCAGTTTTTTCACAGAAAGCACCTGTACTTCTTTTTTCCTGAATTTTTTACTCCTCTTGACGGCCTTACTGATATTTTCTTACTCCTCTGATATTTCTCTCTCTCTCTCTCTCTCTCCCGGTGCTCGAGTACGTGAAGGAGTTCGCCAGGCTTGCTGAACGGTTCTTGCTTGTTTACGTTACACCGGTTGCTGTGGCGCTTTTATCCTTTTGTCCTGATTTGTGTCTCACGAAACCAGAGTGGAATGGAAGGTGGTAGCAGCAGCAGTGGAGTTTGTGACAGCAGTGCTCTCCTCTCCTGCAAGGCAGGGAGATGAAAAAAATTCAAACCAAAAATATAGCCGGCCATGCCAATGCAATGTGGTTTGGGCCTTGTTTAGATTGTAAATTTTTACAATCTGGACACTGTAGCACGTTTTGTTTGTATTTGATAAACTTTGTCCGATCATGGACTAACTAGGCTCAAAAGATTCGTCTCGTGATTTACAACCAAACTGTATAATTAGTTACTTTTTTTTATCTATATTTAATGTTCCATGCATGCGTCTAAAAATTGATGTGATAGAAAGAAAGTGAAAAAATTTGGAACTTTGATGCAATCTAAACATGGCCTTGATTTGGTTTATTATCTCGGCGACGGACGATGCTTGCAGCACACTCCCGTTGTTAAAGACGGGAGACGGCATTGGCTTGTGAGCGAATCCTCCCCGGCAGCGTCCCTTTCAGCAAGGTCATCACGTCAGTCCTAGGATCGGAGGGGGGCTCCGCTCCTTCACGGTGCTCGCTCGCGTCGCTCGGATAGGATCGACAAGGACAAATTGGATGGCTGCACTGTTGTTGTTGACTAATGGCCACAGTTACGCGACGGTCGCGCGCGGCTACGATCCGTCTCCATTTCCACGGGCTACTACTACTAAGCTGGAAGCTAGCTGCTGCAGGGATGGACGGACGTGTCGGTAGAGGGGATGAATGGGCGCACGGTAGTTTTGTCACTCGCCATGGCAATGGCATCACCAGATCACGTCGTCGTGCAGCTGCAGGCTGCAGCGGACGTCGGGAGGGAGAGCTGAGCTGTAAGCCTGATGTAGAGGGGAGAGCGTTGGGGCCAGACGATCTGGGCCGCCTTTGGAAGGCGAAGGCCTACTTTTGCGGGCATCATTTTTGGGCCAGCTCAGCCTCATGTGCGGGCAATTGCGTGGCGGACAAACACCCCCGGGGCAGCCTCATGTGCGCGCTAATCGTGGGGTATTTATGAGACGACGAGGAGACACAAGTATGGACATGATGGAGCTTAGCTGGGGTGTAACCGTGTAAGCAAGTATAGAGCAAGCCCTCCAGCTTGGCACCGCTCCTTGCACTGCCACCTGTCGCGCAGGCTTCACTCGTCGCGAGGCCCCTGCCGTCCGCTGATCTGCCTGTGCCGTGCCGTACTCGGTTCACCCCTCGCATTCACAGGCTCGCCGCAGCTACCAGCGGGACGGGCGACGGGTCGAGCAGTGCAGCAGCAAGTGGCGAATCCAGAATAAATCGTCGCCGGGGTCAGCATAGACTCGTACAACCAAAACCACTAGCGGACATAGGGTCCGGTGACCCTGGGCCACTGTCCGGACTCGTCCATGTGTATAATTCTGCTATGTAAAATTAATTATTTTTTAGTCTATATACTTTCGATATTAAACTTAATTTGTTACTTTAGCTATTATACATTGCCCATGCTCATAAGAAGCTCTAGGTTCGCTTCTGTCCAAAACATATATAGTAATCTAACACCATGATCTATACATAATAGACATAAATGTTAATAATGATGGCATATTGTAGAAGTCAAAAGTTCATATGGAGGGATAAAATTAGCAATATCATAATAAGATAAAATAAACTCTTTACAATAGTGGTTATGTTTTATAGTTTCAGTCTATTCATATTCGGACTATTACATCAACATTTAGGATTGCATTAAGAAATTCTTGTTCCATGAAGCAATGTGATTATCACTAGTTGGAGGAATTTTCCTTTTCAAGAATCGTTCTAGTGTGTTTTGATTGCCTCTCAAATTAGTCAACATAATTAAGCAGTAAAGCAGATATTGGCGTCGTTCGGCTGGTTGAAAAACCAGCCGGATTTCACTGTTCTCGGATGGAAAACATTGTTCACGCTCTCACAAATTCCTCCAGATTCATCCAGATTTCTCCAAATTTCTCCCAGCGAATAGGACCATTGAGTACTGTGCAAGAACCATGATTAAATTACAGTATTAGAGAAGGAATTTCCTTAACTGACATCTTTCTTAAATCAACCAATTTTTCTACTACTCAGTCCTCATTCGCTTGTATGCAGAGAAAAATTCTTTCTATGGTTTGCTTCTGAATTCTGATTATATTAACCAACTGAAAAAAATAAGCATCAAAATCTAAGGTCCAACGATTGCTAGTAGTAGCGTAGAGGCATCTGTGCATGCGTCTGTACAATTTGGTATTTTGGAATACCTATATATAGGCTCGAACAGTGGAGCGCCGGGGTAGAGAGGCTTGAAACCTTGAATGTGACGCCGGTACAAATAGTCACCTGTAGGTTGTGGAGATCCACGACTTTTCGCTTCTGGGCGTGCGTAGTTACACTGCTTGAGCCTACGAGGCTACGACTGCGTCGACGCAGTGGACTTTGCTGCTTCTATGGGCTGGGCTGTAATTACCGGGGTCAGTTTCCAATTACAATGGGGTCCGAGCTGGTGAAAAAATAGCGATTACTAGGCTCTCTTAGGAAGTCATCGGGGTCGGCGGACCCCGACGGGATACTGTAGATCCGCCCCTGGCAGCAGCATGCGTTCTTGAGGCTGCCAGAAGATGAGGCCGCTGCAGCCAGGGGCGGACCCAGCACTAGGGCAGCTCAGGCCATGACCCTAGTCGCGGACCATGTTTCAAAGGAGTAGGTCTTCAGTTTTGGCCCATGAAGCAGCCCAACACATCAAGCCCAAGGAAGGAGTAGGGCAGCAAACGCTCGGTGTTTGCTCGCTGAGTCGCTCGGTCTTCCATCGCTCGCGACTCGCGACCGCTGCTGCTCACCGACCCGCCCTCGCGGCCTCGCCCGTCGCCCACGCTGTCCAGCCGGGCACCGGCCACCGGCAGCCGCCCCTCGCCCCCTCCGGCCCTCCACTCTACGCTCCGGTCCGGCTCCGCGGCGTCACCCCTCCGCTCTAGGCAGTCTGTGGCGGCGTGGTTCTTCCTCAGCCGGGCGCCGGCCGCCCACCCGCTGCCCGTTGCGGCGTTGCCGCCTGCCGGCTCCTTGCTTTCAGGTGAGCAGCCGAGAAGAGCATCTGAGCAAGGTTTGGAAACTGATTTTGATTCCAAATTTCCAAGTTTCCAATTTCGACTCTTTGATTCTAATTTCTCATTACAGTGTACAAGAAGAGGACAATGACTTTAATTTCGTATTTCTCTCGAGTTCCTGAGCAACAGGGAGATGTCGAACAACAAGCTACTCTATTCTCAGCACAAGATCTTATTATTAACCTTTACTTGATCATTTTCTTATTAACCTTTTGCTTGCTCCTTTTTTTATTAGGAGTTGTTATTGAGGACATGGAAGTGGACAATGCGAATGCACCAAATCGTCCCTAGACAATAGGTATTTATTTTCAATGTTCCATGATATTTCTTAGCTATTGTATCGTACTATTAACTATATATATATATATATATATATATATATATATATATATATATATATATATATATATATATATATATATATATATATATATATATATATAGACACACACATACATACACACACGTAAGTCACAGAAATAATTATTCTCAAGCAAAGTTTGCAAATCGAAAGAATTTCTGCATCTATATAGTTAATAGTACGATACAATATGGTCCAATAGACTGTATTGTACTCCCTCCATCCCAAATTGTAAGTCATTCCAAGAATCTTGGAGAGTCAAACTTTTTCAAGTTTGACTAAAATTATAGAGAGAAACATAAAGATTGATGACACCAAATAGGTATAATATAAAAATATAACTAATGAAGAATCTAATGATACTTACTTGGTATGATAAATATTATTATTTTGTTATATAAATTTGGTCAAACTTGAAAAACTTTGACTCTTTAAGATTCTTGGAATGACTTACAATTTGGGATGGAGGGAGTAGCTTTTAATTTTTGGCCGCTAGGATTTGGCCCTGGTCCTATCGTGTGCGTTTGTGCCACACATAGAGCGATCATCCACTATCATCTATCCGTGCGAAGTAAGTGGTGCAAACAAGAGTACTTCCGTTCCGACTCTGTGGGATTTATTTTCGTCCACGTATATCATTTTGCACAGAAAAACGGTGGATGCAAAAAGATATAGTTCATCTATAGGAGAAATCGAATCGAACCATGAAAAAAATAGAAGATATACTTAGGAAAAAATGCTGGAAGATACAAAATTAGGTAGGGAGAGTATCAAAATCTAGTACCAGTAACTATATTTCTCTATTGTTTATTATTTTTTAATAAAAAACTAGGTAATTATTTTGATTTCATGTCTCTGTGCTGTTGTTCGTTCTTAGGTTAATGGCAAGTACATTGCTACAAATTAGCAGTCTCATACTCCATCTCATGCAGTGTCATTTTTGCTCACATGGAGAAGAAAAGAGAGAGGAGAGAGAAAAAGGTC